TTCAGTAAGCTGATACTTATGGTGAGCCTGCAGTGGAGTTTATACTCCAGAGTATAGAAGCTACATTCCGTTGCTGTCTGCTGACCTAAAAATCATTCAATATTAAGCTTCAAGTCTAAGAGATAAAGACAGATACAGTTAAATCTGAAGTGTCACTAAAACAGAAGATATACATCATATCCAAGCAACTTCCTGTATTGCGGGTTTTAAGCTAACTTCTATACATTGTTACAGTCAAAAAAATTCTGACATATGGAAATATTATTTAGCACCTCACTACTTCCTGTAATAAAGTGACAACCCAACCAGTTGCATTATTTTCACCAGAGTGCACTACAGAATCTCATGGCTCACATTTGGTTACGGCATTATGTTTGTTCTCAACTGGGTTTTCATTGCTACTGCCTACATGAAGAAAAATCCATTTGTAAGTTGGAGTATTTGTACACTACACTTTATAGTTAACAGTCTGCAACAGAATTGCATACGTATAACCTGCACTAGTTTATTACTCACAAGATTTATAACTAAAGGCAACCAAATTCACATTCAGCTTCCCCTCAAAGTAGTAAGGAGTACAACATACTTTTCTTGCACCACTTTCACTCATTTCTTATCCCCAGAATTTCTATCTGGCTTAGGGACAGCCCTCAAACCTCTTTTTCCCCTTCAGCAGCTCACATGTTAAGCACAATAACCTGACTAACACTGCACTGAAGCCAGAGTAAGAATGACAAAGTGACATATCAGCAAGAAGATGCATTCATGAACTGTTAACTGCTGACTGACCAACCTACCCTTTTTGACAAAGAAACAGAAAGGACAGGAGTGATACAGCACATACCAGACAAACAGTACAGTTCTCCAATGCACACAGTTTACCAGGAATGCATTTTCAACTCACGTAAATTATCCACTAAGTTTCTAAATCATGCTTCCTTTAAGAGAAGACACTATCCAAATGAAAGAAGATGTCTTCAAATGTCTGACAAATACACAGTTCAAAAAAAGAACCCAATTTATCCTCCGTATCATCAACCACACTTTCATATTTGAAAAGTTACTAATTTGAATAACAGAACCCAGAGCAATAATTCAAGACACAAGTTTTGCAGTCCAGCAAGTGACTGCACCACCCTGTATTGTTCTGTAAACCAGAAGTTAATTGACAGTCTTGATTTAAAACCAACTCGAACTGAAACAGAGACTCAAAGGATAACACATTACCCCTAAGATTTGGCCTTTACAGTCAACTCTTGCTACCTTTGGCATAAGAGCATTACTTTGCAACAGGAAAAGGCATCACATTGTAGTTACAATGTTACGTGAATTGTACAGAGGTGATAAAAGACTCGCTGTAATGTAATTTAAAAAGACTAAACAGTAACACGAATGTACAGGAAGAGTTATTTTAAATTAAAATAGAAAACAGTGGCAGTAGCCACTTTTGCCAACTTCTACCTACTTAAAGGCCATTAAAGCAGTAACCTTAACTACTATTTCACTCAACTTAAGAGATGTGCTAATGACAACAGTAGGAGGCACACTTGACTCAGAATAACTAGAGTTGAGATGAATATATACAATGGGAATAAAAGTATTGGAAGGCTAACACTACACTAACAAAGTCCTTGGAGTAACTGAAGCTGAGCACTGGCCCTAAGCAGTTGCTGCTGAGCTCTTCACAGCTCCACTACGCACACAGCAAGGCAGATTATTTCACATTTAAATACCTGCATCCAACATTTAAACTAGGTTCAGTTACAATTTACTTCATATAAGACAGGCCACAAAGTAAACTAGAATAGTCCGTCCATCAGTCACACCTTTGCTAGGATCTTGTTACACATCTATAAGCAACCTTGAAATACTTAATTGCTTCAAATAAAATCTTCCAATCTTCCACAGATCAAGAACAACTAGTCTTGGCCAGGACGTCCCTTGCTGGAAATACTAAAAGCACCATTAGGTTACCATAGAATTTCAGCTCCTTCTGCTTCTATTTCCTCCACAGTTCAGCATGAGAGGCATTACAATACAGTTCAAGAGCCTTCCTAAGGATGTGGAACAATATTCTCCAGGGTATCATCAGCAACTTGGGAACCCAAGCTGCATTTGATAAACAGCACCCAAACTCCCTTTGAAAGGGAGCATACTGATATTTTCAGATTTTACACTTTATCACTCCAGAGCACGTACATAAAAACTAGGTATAGTTAAAAAGTCATTCTGCCAGAGACTATCATGAAGTCTTCTGTGCTGTGCTTAACCCACAAAATTCCTACTACAGTATTTCCTCCAATATTTAAACGCAGTAGTTTAACTGAGATGAAAGCAGCTGACATCTTGCTTCCTTCCATACAGGGATTTCTAAAGAAACTGAAGCATTCAAGGTATGCTAGAAAAGCCTTAAAAGAACATACTACCAAAGACTCCGCAAAAGTACGAACTGTTCTCGTCCCATTCTGTTATACATCTTGCAATCAAGAACTGTAATACACCTTTATCAACTCTGGACAAGCCGCAAGAGGAACAACTCAGTCTGCATAATCACGCTAAGCAGCCTCATTCTGGTAGCTCTACAGCAGCACTGTTGAGAAAGACTATAGAGAGGTTGAACACTGAGGATGCCTATGCTTGCTAGCATGAACACAGTGAAGAACAGCTCTTCTATTGCTAAGGAACATTATTTCAAGACAATTAAGAGTAAACATCAGTTAGTTACAGTTGGTGCAATATAGCATGGAAGAAAATAATTCACATTTCCCTAATAAAATAATTATGCTTTGAAGGTTCACCATTCGTCAAACCATGGCATTCTGGAAAACCAATGACATCTATGTTTCGGTCCATCTTTCTGAATGCCGATTGTATTTTGATACAAGTCACGCACAATGAGAGTCACTAACTTGTCAACAATTATATCTTCCTAGAGAAAGAAGAGGAGGTACCCATCACACCAATAAATACCAAGTTCCTCCTTTTATTTCTAAATGCAAACATTAAAACAAGACTTAATCTGAAAATATTTGACTAGCTGTAGAGTGTAGCTCCTTTGGCAAATAATTTTAACAGCTATAAAATTTATATTTTTGTTTCAAATTTGTCATTTTGTATGCAGTCTCCTTATGACAGGAAAGTTACAGCCTTCAGAATAATTTAACCCACAAGGCAGTCCTGTAATGTAGTTAACCTCCAAGTAAAACGTCAAAAAATTCCCTCTTACAAATACCTTCATTCTTGCTTTTTGCACTGTCATTTTAACCAGTACTCACGAAATTCTTCAATCAACTGAAAGCTCAGCAACATGCCCTTTATAAATGAGCTTCCTTATGAAATTACTTCAAAGAAGGTGCTTCTTTAGACAGTTTGTCCACATGGTACTGATCATAATTAAGACACTTCAACAGAAGCAATGCTAGCCAAAAGTAACTGATGCCAAGCTGACATTAGTTTCTGATCAGTAAGTAAAGCGTAAATATTAAAACAGATTTCAGGGGTTAAAGTCAAGGAACTTCAAAATGGCAAAGATTAAAATTTCAAACAAAAGTCATAATACAATTTTGGTAGAATATTAATCTCCTCTCAGTTTAAACTACATGTGAAAAGCTTAAGCAGAGCCCAACACTGGATCATTTCACTCTTTTAATTTAAAATCAATGTTCGAAAGACCACCACTGCAAGTACATAGCTAGCATGGAAGAGCAGGGCATGCTTAAGTTTCACAAAAAATATTGGTAGCTTACTTCCACAGTCAGTAAACGTAGAATAATGGCAATAACATAATCAACCAAGACACTAGTAGAATGTTCGAGCAATCATCCAAAAAGCAAACATGAATACAAATCAAGAGATCCCTTAATAAATTCTTGCAGTTTGACCAGAATAGATATAAAACTGGTTTTGAGGGGAAGGACGTTTTTACTGCAATCAACCATTTGTGAGCAGCTAACTTCTTAAAAACCCCTCAAAGACTTCTGGGATTTTAACCCAATGCTCTTTTGTCTGCCCTAAATTGGATGGGAACACACACAATAAAGCCATAGTACATGAACCCCTCTATGGATTGCACTGAAACCCAACACTAAAAAACAAGCACTATCCTTTTAATTTAATGCTGAGGCTTTTAAAACAAACTAGTAGCCCAGGTATTTGTTCCCGGTACTCCAAACTCTTCCCACTGCTTTTAAGGTTGTTGCACAGCAACCTGCATCCTGGTTATACAAGCTCTGACTCGTGCGGAACTAAGGGTTACACCGGGCTTCTGTAGAACTCTGGCTCTGCTCAGGCCAGAAACTTAGTACAAGAGTAGTGTCTTAGTCCAGTTTAATCCAGCAGTCATTTGGAAAGGTTAAACTTCAGGACTTTTGGTTTTTTTCAAGCTTCAGAAAGGAGACGATTACTTTCTTCCTTTCCTTGTGCCTGTATGAAGTGTGAACACTAGAACTTAGAATGAAAAAAATAGCTTTGTAAAACTAAACAATATGATGCACTACATGACTTTGTGTATATTCTGGAATCACCTCCTACAAGAATCCACTGCCACAAACTTATGAAATGTCTGTGAAATTGACATTTTAATATTTTTTCTAAGAAAAACACCTAAACAAATTTTGAAAAATTAAGGCTAGCTCAAGTTGACAGTCACACATTTTCCCTCAGCCTCCCTGAAGCCGTGAGTGAAGCTGTATTTTTACAATCCTCCAGGCTACCTTTTGGAGGCGTAAAAAGCAAGATGCTGTAAGAAACAGAGTTGTAGTACATTTTCTGATGAGAAAGCTAAAAAAATTCTTTAGAGCACAGAATATTTAACAAATTAAAAGGCAAACTGACTCCAAGAAAAGGTTGCACCTGTCTTCCAAAGGAGTGCCTTAAGTCTGCTGTTCCCTGTCTGAATAAAGCAGACCTCAAGTGGATGGATTTTAACTCCTTCAAACACACAGCCTAGCACCTGGGAGAGTGACTGTGCTTTAGTAACTCACAATTTTTATTTATTTTACCTGTAGCTCGCACCAGGCGACTTCCACAGTGGTATCCGTATCCAGTCCTTTGTACACAGTTTTGAAAGAGCCTCTTCCAATCTCGATGTCAAACTTCAGGAAGCGACCATCCGGGGAGAAGCCCACTGCCTTGGTCTCAAGCTCTTCAATGTCTTCCTGCTGTGTTCTCCGCTCCTCAAATTCCCGGCTGGCAGCTGTCGCACTGCCAGCGGCACTGGTGGGGGGTAGCGCAGTTGCTTCGTCCTCCTCCTCCTTGGGCAGCAGCAGGGCGGCATCCTTCGCGGCAGGGGGCTCCTGAGCAGACTGTCCTTCGAGGGGAAGCGGGGCAGGCGGTGGCGGCTGCTGCAGCAGTGAGGGGGCTTGGGCGGCGCTGACAGGGATGCAAGAGGTCCGGCTGACACACTCGGGAGGAGAGACCAACAGAGCGGCGCTGCCTACCGAGACAGGGGCCGAGGGCGCTGCGGGCTGCAAACTGGGCAGCTCCAAGGCCGTAGCGTTGGAGTCGCAGATCACGCTACGGCGGA